ATATTTACATATCTCAAACAACAATAGCCGGAATGTATTATATATTTACATATCTCAAACAACGATAGCCGGAATGTATTATAGATTTATACATTTCAAACAACAATAGCCGGAATGCATTATAGATTTTCATATCTCAAACAGCAATAGCCGGAATGTATTATAGATTTACACATTTCAAACAACAATAGCCGGAATGCATTATGGATTTTCATATCTCAAACAACAATAGCCAGAATGTATTATAGGTTTACATATCTCAAACAACAATAGCCGGAATGTATTATAGATTTACATATCTCAAACAACAATAGCCGGAATGTATTATAGGTTTACATATCTCAAACAACAATAGCCGGAATGTATTATAGGTTTACATATCTCAAACAACAATAGCCGGAATGTATTATAGGTTTACATATCTCAAACAACAATAGCCGGAATGTATTATAGGTTTACATTTCAAACAACAATAGCCGGAATGTATTGTTCTCCATCATGGGCAATAGATATTAATGTATTAGATAAACTATATCAACATGATAAAAATTTAATCATCATAGGTGATTTCAATAATACACATAAAAATGTTGCCTGTCGTATAACTACGTTAAATGGAAGAAGTTTTGGATAATATTGACTGTGTGTGTTCTTAAACTATATAACCCTAACAAATATACCGGATCTATGTATTTCTTCATCAAATATCACTTATAAGTGTTCTAGTTTTAACGTTTGATTTGATCTAGATAGAGATCATTTTCCAATTACATGCGTCTTCGATCTCGAACCCCATTATAATAAACCAATAAGAAAACAGAATTATAATTACAATCAAGCAAACTGGGAACAACAATATAAAAACTTCCAAGAGAAATGATTACCAGAGTCAACGATTAATCTAACAGAAAATTCATGACTACTGTCAAACAATTCAAACCAGATGGCAACCTCATACAGAAATTATAAACACGATAAAAGAACGCCGCCAACAGGGAAGACAATTTATGAATGCATGAGATGCATACGTCAAAACTCAAATTAACACTCTAAGAAACAAGATACGAAATGAAATAAAACAACTTTAACAAGATTCATGGGATGGTTTCTGTTCAAAACTAAACGATCACACAGGCCCGATGAAGTTTTGGTCACACCGAAAACGATTTACAAATAATCAAAACAATACTAAATCATATCAGACTTTAAATCACGAAAACAAAACAGCAAATACAAATGAAAAAGAAACAAAAAAGGCGACACTTTTAAAGAACAATTGAGAAAGACCTCTAAAACACATAACCCAGACATGGACACACACTATTTTGATATAGTAAACGAGTAGATTGAAGAAAATAAACACACATACACTATAAACCTTTTTAGTAACAACAACAAATCCACAAAATTCAAACAACAATAATTAAAAATACACTCTGCATGTACAACGTTTCGACGTCCTCTTTTATGTAATCTTATTTATAAAGTGGAAGCTGATGACGGCTTTAATTAAGTTTTTTGGGCCCGGCATGGCCAGGTGGTTAGGGCGCTCGACTCGCAGTCTGCGGGTCGCGGGTTC